TCATGTAGGGACAATAACATATATATGATGCTGAATAAAGGCAAAGTTCGAAAACTGTTAATATAAAGAATTGCACAAAATTAGGATTTACTAGAAAGTGGTCAAATGTGGTGAGGAGAGAGGAAAACAAAACGTGAATTATCAAAAGGGTTGGAAAGGTATAAATGAGAGAGAAAAGATGTTAATAAAGAGGACAAAAAAGTTTACGACATTGATGAACCTCTTTGTTTATCTTTTTAGGTCAGCGGACATCACGAATCTTTAAGACATTTCCGAGTGTTGAGAAACTCTTATGAAAACAACAAATATTACATTATTTAGTGCCTGTAATTTTGTTGATAGAAACCATGCCATAACTGTTCAGTTTATACAATTTTTTGTTGTATTTTCTTTAATTATGTTTTTCTTATCAGTAATAAATATTTTAAAATAGAAATATACTGGCTAGTAGTTGTTGTCAACAGAAAAGGCCTTTGCTCGACAGAGATCTTTTTTCTTCATTTTGTTGTTTGTTTAGTATTTTTCACATATGTGAGGAATATTAAGCAGGAATGGAACATGCAGAAAACTATTGGTAGTGTTCCAGTCAGTTCGCTGAACAAAAGTAATATTTACTGATAAGGCATGTTTACTAGGATGCGAAAGTCGAAACTAAGGATGACCAACCAGTAAACAAACGACAGCAACATCTTTTAGTAATATTGTTCAGTTTGCGTTAGTATCTACGAATTATTCATTCTTAGATGATGATTTTGATTTGAATATCGGGAGGGCATCGCGTATCATCAAAGGTTACGTCATCAATACCTCACTGCAAGTTAACTAATTCTTATGAACATGAATCATTTTGATCACAAAAGTTTATTTATGACTGCTGACATACGTAGAAAATGCATACTACGCGTGTGCAAAATTATAATTATACAATCATTTACTCTCAGTTTCTTTTACTTGAGCGATATATCAATTTAAGTCGATTATCGATTTAAGTCGATTAATGTTCCAGTCATTTACTATCAACAGGATTATATGCCATTTGATAATCTCTCGATACCCAGCCGTCACTGAATCCCTATTCCAGCTACTGATAATGAGAGGCTTGTAATGCATTTCGGGAGTTAAACGGGTTTTCTTTTGTAGTGTTGGTAATGGCGTTGGTGTTTGTTGTGACAGTGATGATGATTGTGACGAGGACGAGGACAAACCCGATGATGATGAAAATGACCTCAATGATACATTGATGAGTCTGAGCAGCAAGTAAATAGTCATTAGTAATATAAATAGTAACTCACAATACGATCATGTAGTATCTGCAACAGATCGTCAGTTACAACACCCCCAACCCCAACCGCCACAAGAACCAAAACAAAACAATACTTCATGCCACATGATGTAAACAAAAACATCATATTGTAGGTTAGAAAAAAAAATCCATCAAAAAGCAAGCATCACGGAATGCAAAGTCCCCATCTTGGATCATAAATCTCTGATATGCATTTCTTAAAAGATAATATAACACACTAAAAAATGCAAGACCATAGCATTACGTCATAGCTCATTGGTCACCCATCGTTAGCTAACTGAAGGGCAAATTTATTTAAATTGAGTTCCTTTCACGTTGCATAAGGTTGATAACTTCTGAAAAAATTAAATCGACCACACATACAGACATGCATTCATGTCTGTCTTCTGTATGTCTGTCTGAGATAGATATGCAAATAACAGTCCTTTCAAGTGTTCTGATTTTAAGGGATTCATACTGATGTATAAATTTGGCAACGAGGCGATAAGTGCAAATCTATTTTATTTTTCAACTTGCGTAAAGCACTTGCGATGTTTGACATATGAAGTCGATAGGAACTGAAGAAAAAAAACAAACAAACAAACAAAAAAAACAAACAAACAAACAAACAAAAAAAGCCAAACGAAAACGGCTCTTGTTAAAAATAAAGTCATGGCTAGCGAGAAATGTACAAAATCCGTTTTAGTCGAAGGGAAGTAACCGCTGCATTACTTATAAAATCTAGACTGGTGCGCTTCGCGAAGCATCACTTGAAGAATGGTACCAGGCTTAAAAAAAAACTTTTAAAATAATCCGGTAGTATTGTCAGAATATAAAGGACTCAAACCACTAACAATTATCTGGGCACCACGCAACATTTGATACAGTTCTCAATACTTTGAGAACTGGCCGTTGAATGTACTATCAGTGCAGCCTCTTTCTTTTTAAATTGTATCAGTACCCTCAGCTTGTACAAATGTCTGTGCACGTACACAAATTCGATTTTTCTTTCTCCGTCATGCAAATATTTTGCTGTATCTAACCGGCTTGAGACTGTTAATGAAGATAGCTTTTACCGGTATCTGGCTTTAAAGACCTTTATCCCAAAATAAAAATGATACAAAATACCTCAGTTTTATTGTTCAGAAAATGTGTGCTAACTTAATTGAATGCGTACATATGTTCTGCTTTTCTCTGCTAACTAGTCCACGAACGTTAACATTGACGTCAAACAGAAAAATTAACTGAAAGTCTAAACCCAGCACCTAAGTAGGCTTAGTTTGGTAATGATGTTTTGCGGCATAGAAACACACACATCTATGTGGGTCTGGCTTGGCATTGATGTTTTACGGCATATCAACACACATATCTATATGTGTCTGGTTTGGTAGTGATGGTTTACGACATAGCAACACACATTTCTATGTGGGTCTAATTTGGTTTTGATGTTTTACGGCATAGCAACATACGATGGTTGTTTAGTAATGGGGAAATTGGAGTCATTTACCGTGCCCAAGGATGTACCAGGGTAGTCTACATGGACTGGTCAGTAGACTGGCTCTGTAGCACCCTTTCGGTCCTGAGTCTCAATGGTGACCACTGAGCTACCACTGCTCCATCTGTGTAGGCAGTGATGTCACTAGGGTTGGTGTCACCCCCATGGACCTCCTTCCTGCACAAAAAGTCAAAAAGTTTAGACAGTCATGTGCGGTAACTCACGGTGTCACCCTATGGACATCCTTGCTGCACAAAATTCATAAATTTTATAGACAGTCATTTTGGTGTCAACCGATCTGATAGTGTTACCCAGTGCGGTCCACACCCACACCTACCCTAGTGACGTCACTGTGAGTAGGCATATTTTGCATTTGACAGGAATCGTTGTTGGCTTTTGGAGTTTTTTTTGTTGAGATTCTACTACAATCAAACTAGTCAACATTTATTACTAATTAATAATTGAAAGAACTAACCAGTTACATGCCTACGTATTGAAAACATTACGTAGCTAACTTACTAGCTAGTTTTAAAATTGAAAAGCTGTTAATTTGATCTGGAAAAAATATCACAATCCTATATTATTCCGTGTTAAGGTAATGAAAAACAGAAAATACAAGGTCCCCCCCCAAGTTACATCATAACAAGCAAAACAGACACAAACAACAACCAAAACCAACCAACCACCTAGGAAGCCAAACAAATGCACCATTATGACTAAATGACTACCGAGCGACCGAACCAACATTTATTTTGCTACATTCAAGGGGTTTCTCTACTGAGCAAGCACTTGCGTGAGTTTAACGCTTGAAGTCCCTTGGTTTGCTCTATTGTCAAGGACTTCTAGACATCAGTCGTTGTCAACTGGACGATCTAATAACGCATCAAGACGCTATCTATGTGATGTGATTATGATTTTTAACGTTGCTTAAACAATTTTTTTTAGTCATATAGCTACGATGTCTGCAGTGTGTCAGTTTATTGTGATGTTTAGCACTTGGGCATCATACCGCAGACATGTAGCATGATGTCCCACCCGGTCACATTATCCTGACACCAGGCCGACCATTCCTAACGCTAACCTCTTAATGCTGAACACCAAGCGAGGCAGCTGTTAGTACCATTTTTTAAAAAATAAATTGTTTGTATTAATCGGTCGGGGATTGAACTCACAGCCTCCTGCATCTGAGGCAGACACTCTAATCAATTGATAACCACTAAATATCCCAACTTCAAATTTGCATCGCAACTTCACAGTTGCATGGTTTCTTCTTGTTAGGATTCCGTAATGTAAGTACTTAAATATCTTAAAATACAAATCAAAACTAACACCCGAAACCCGAGTCAGTCGAACCACAATTTTGAACGACACCACATGTAACCTTAATAACAACATTAAAAGGCGTCTCACTATAATGGAACAACCCCTTCTCAAACATTCCTTTGTACAAACTATCAATCACAATAATAAATATTTCACATGGAAATACACAACTAATCAACACCGGCACTGACCTGAACTCAACTACAAACTTAAACCATGCCATCATAATATCTCAATAATACTTCACTTTGCGACCTTTGCCCTTTAGAAACTGGCTAATTACTCGGGATAAGAAATAATTCCCGAAGACCGACTCTCTACTCTCAAATAAGTTACCACAAAAATATAGCAAAAGTAAAAATGGAGACTTAATTATATATGGCACATACCCTATATTTATTTAAATATATCTCCTAACCTATATACATAATTAGCAAATTAATTTAACTGACCGACAATAAACCTTAACTGATCAGCTAGCTAGCTATGTAAATAACTAAACTAAACCAACCAACCAATTCATTACTACCTACCTACCTCCCTACCTAACTAAGTAAGTAAGTAAGTAACTAATTAGTATTTTAAATTTCTGACTGCTCATGATGAAACCCACATTTATAAGTTTCGACATATTCTTGATAACTTCTTCTGTGTAAAGAACATGATATGAACCATGACGTTCTCTGGATCTACATGTATTTGAAATGTGTTTTTAGTTCCACACGAAATTAAATGAATAGAACAATGTCTCTATTTTTAACCACAAATTGAATAAACTTTTAAAAGCTTCTTTTCACTAAAATTTTCCTGTCACCATCATGTCACCTGTCACTCAACATGGCAAGCAAAACCAAAATATGCACTATTTTATGTTACCTATTTCTAGACCAGTTCCCATTC